AAGATTGCTTTGGCTATTCGGGGTCTTTTGTGTTTCCATACAAATGTTGAAATTTTTTGTTCTAGTTCTGTGATAAATGCCATTGGTAGTTTGATAGGGATTGCATTGAATCTGTAGATTGCTTTGGGTAGTATAGTCATTTTCACAATGTTGATTCTTCCAATCCAAGAACATGGTATATCTCTCCATCTGTTTGTATCACCTTTAATTTCTTTCGTCAGTGTCTTATACTTTTCTGCGTACAGGTATTTTGTCTCTGTAGGTAGGTTTATTCCTAGGTATTTTATTCTTTTTGTTGCAATGGGAAATTGAAGTGTTTCCTTAATTTCTCTTTCAGATTTTTCATCACTAGTGTATAGGAATGCAAGAGATTTCTGTGCATTAATTTTGTATCCTGCTACTTTACCAAATTCATTGATTAGCTCTAGTAGTTTTCTGGTAGCATCTTTAGGATTCTCTATGTATAGTATCATGTCATCTGCAAACAGTGACAGCTTTACTTTTTCTTTTCCGACTTGGATTCCTTTTATTTCTTTTTCTTCTCTGATTGCTGTGGCTAAAACTTCCGAAACTATATTGAATAATAGTGGTGAGAGTGGACAACTTTGTCTTGTTCTTGATCTTAGAGGAAATGGTTTCAGTAAAACTGACTTCTCTTTTATTCAAAGTTCTGAAAGCAGCCAGATTCATTGGAGGTAGTTTTTCCTGTAGTCACATCTGCCTGACTTTATTGAATTTCCTTTTCTTAATGAATCGTGAGGGTTGAGTTAAATGTTAAATATTGGTGTTTATATAAGGAACATGCATGTTTGCTTTTGCCTTTGTTTTTATTTTTTAATTTTATTTATTTATTTTTTTGCCTTTGTTTTTAATAAAATTCATTTAGTTGTAAGTTTGTTCCATTGAAAGGTCGATACTGGCTGTGTTTAATGCTGCCTCAAGCATTTCCTGACAGTTTTGGCTCTGCTAAGGGCTTCAAGGCCAGTCCTCATATTCCCTTGGTGCCCAGGCTTTGCCAGTCCACCCTTCACACGCGTCTCCAAATACATGTCAGCAGCCAGCCCTTTTCTCCCATGCACTTGGCCCCGCGGGCTCCGTTCCCTCTTCGCTTTATAACTGCGGCCTCTCCAGCTGTCCAGATCCTCTTGGGCTGTGCTGACCACATTCTTATAACTAATACTTTCTTGGTTGACAAGCTGTTTCCTTGATACCCTTTGATCCCATAATTCCACTTTTGGAAAATTTCTCTAACATAACAACCATAGATTACACAAAGATATACATAGAAAATATGTACAGAACATACAAAAAATGTGTCTCTGCAACCTTCTTTATAATAAAATTGAAAACCACTAGTGATGGACAGTAGGGACCAAGCCAATACACAACGGACGGTCCACGCGCAGGCTGGCATGCTCCAGGCCTCGGGGCGCCTGCAGTTACAAATTGGAAAAAGAGCAGGAATGAAATATGCCAACACATTCACAGCTTTTACACCCTTGAGATGGTGGGCGATTTTTGTTTTCTTCCTTATGGTTTTCTGTATTTTTCAAATGTTCTACAACGAAACTGCTTTTTTTTTATAATTAGACAGACCTGATTAAAAAAATCTTTTCTGACCATGCGAAGATTACAGAGAGGGGAACATAAAAACTGAAACTACTATCTACAAGGACATAACCAAGTAGCAGCAAGGTGATTATTTGGGTTCCATGAATCAGAGGAGCCACTGGCTGGCCAGGGGTCCCTAGGACTCCTTGTGCTTTCCTTTGACAGCCTGTCTTCCTGGAACGACATCCAGGGCTGGCCTGTTCTTTGCAGCCTGGAAGACATGATTTTGCAATTGCATTGGGCATCTCTGTGAAGAAACCCTTCTCCGGAGACTCCCGGGGAGGGGGTGGCACTGTGAGAATTGAAGACTGGGACAACAGTGGTCTTGTAAGGGCCATTTCCTCAGCACCTCTCTTAGGCTCGGTGTGTGTTGGCCTTTTCTCTGTGGTGAGTCGTTGCTCCCTTGAGGACAGAGACCCTGTCCTCTGAGGCTTCTTGCTCTTCCGGACTCTCTCACCTGAACCCATTTGTTGACTGACTCCTGTCGGCAGAAGGGAGTCAAGGTCTCCCTCCCACCTTGATATGTTGGATGTTCCCAGCAGATGCTCGGTCATTGCTAAGGGGGCTCCCCGTGATCTTCCCACACCAGCTCTGGCCTCAGTGCTGCTTGAAGGAGGAGGACGGCCGAAGGGGATCTAGGGCCCTCGGGGCGTGGCACCATGCGGGGGCAGGGCTGAGAAGTGGGGTTCACCTGGGAATGAGGGCGCCCAGGGGTAAGCAGGGCCTCAGCGGGTCCTCACGGGGACATGTCATGTCTCTGCTGCAGGTGAACGGGAAGGAGCTCTCCAAGCTGTCTCAGGAGCAGACCCTGGAGGCCCTGCGTGCCTCCAAGGAGCCCCTGGTGATCCAGGTGCTGAGACGCAGTCCCCGCCTCCGGGGCGATGGCTCCTCCCACGACCTGCAGCTGGTGGACAGTGGCACTCAGACCGACATCACCTTCGAGCATATCATGGCGCTGGGCAAGCTGCGCCCACCCACCCCACCCATGGTCATCCTGGAGCCGTACGTCCCGTCTGAGCTGTGAGTCGCCCTCAGGAGGGCCCCGGGCCCTGCCTCCAGAGAGGGCAAGCCACCTGGGGTGGCTGCCCCGTGCCACCCAGAGGCCACACTGTCGCAGCTCTGGGCGTGGCAGGGAGACCCTGACTGGCTGCCCCCGGGCAGGAAGCAGGCTCCTTGGCCTCCAGAGCTGACCGTCTCACCCCAGGGCTCAGGCATCTCCGGGCCTCTAGCCTCTGGCTGGACAGCAGCTACTGAATGGGCCTGGGGGTCCTGACACGCAGGCTCCCCACTGTATCTACCCCCAGGGCCAAGGGAGAACCGTCCCGGGACTTTGCTGCCAGAAGGTTGAGGTCCTCAGCTCCTCCTCTGTCCTTTCTCCTCCTCTGCCGCCCCATCGTCTTCTGCCTCACAAGCATCATCCCTTGAATCTTCTTGCATCCTTGTCTGTCCCATTTCTCTGCCTGCTCTGAACTTCCTCCATCTCTTCGGCTTCTTTCTTTGGCTCACTCGGAAGAAGGGCCTCTCATCCGGGCCTGGTGGCTCATGACTGTGTGAGCGCTGACTCATTTCGCTAGCCTCACCCCGGGCGGCAGGGAGGTCATCCCGGGATCCCCTCCTCCACAGAGAGGTAGGCCTGGGGCTGGCAGTAGCCAAGCTTAGCCTCGGGGCAAGGAGGGCCGCCCGGCCCTCCTCCGCTCCCCAGCAGTCCTCCAGGGCCTGGATAACTCCTGGGGGCACTGCATGAGTGGGGCCAGTGCCAGGTGGGAGGGGCACCCGCAGTTTGGAGAAGTCGGTCCCTGCTGGCTGGCGTGGTTAGAGGAGTCTGAACTAGCGGACAGGACAGGATGGGGTGGGATGGGATGGGACAGGGCGGGGCGGGGAGAGCTAGGCATGCCTGGGTCCTCGCTGCAGATGCCCTCACACTCCTGTTCAAGAAATATTCCTGGTCTTTGCATAGATGCATGTAGCTCAAAAGGAGGGGGTACAGAAGAGGTAGCTGGGCCGCCGCCTCCCAAGGTTGCACCCCGAGCGGGGCTCCATGCCGAGCGCACTGGGACCCGCCAGCTGGGAGCCGGGGCTAGGGAGAGAGGGGAGCAGATGGCTGGCCTGACGCCCCGCTTCTCCTGGGCAGCCCCCCCATCAGCCATGAGTATTATGACCCGGCGGAGTTCATGGAGGGCAGCCCGCAGGAGGCAGACCATATGGAAGAGCTGGAGTATGAGGTGAGCTGGTGGCCAGCCTTGGGCGCCAGCCCCAGGGCATCTGTCTGTGGCCCAGCTCAGGCCTGGCTCCCGAACCCCCAGGCGGCTGGGCTTCTCGGCCCTTTCCCACGCATGGCTGAAGGGCTCAAGGGCCAAATTGGGCTGAGTTGGGGAGGGCACGGGTGAGGTCCCTCTGTCAGTGTGTGCTGGCGAGTCTGTGTCCCACGCATGTCTGTATGCTGTGCGTCCTGTGTGTCTTGTGTGTGTCTTGGGCATTTCCTGGTAAGGGACACCACAGGACACACGTGCCATTTGGGATGGTAAGAGAGACCTTTGGAAACTCAGCTCAGGTGATGCGGTCTGGGGGGTTAGGCTGGGCCGAGGCTGCCGTCCCTGCAGCTTCTCCCTCTGCTTGTCCATCCCCCTTGCGGCAGGAGGTGGAGCTGTATAAAACTAGCCACCGGGACAAGCTGGGCCTGATGGTCTGTTACCGCACGGATGACGAGGAGGACCTGGGCATCTACGTTGGAGAGGTATGAAGGCGGGACGGGCGGCTGGGATCTTCTAGAAGGCAGTGGAGCTCCACGTGCCTTCCTGTGTGCTGGGACATGACAGCTGGACTCGGGTGCCCATCTGTACGGCACCTATGAGGGGGCCAGGGCAGCACGGAGGCAGGCGCTGAGGCAGGGTGTGGCACATGAAGACGCCCATGCCACCCTATCTCCACAGCCTTGCCACGCTGCCCAGGGCTCTGAGGCTGCCCGTAAGGAGGCAGCTTAGCGTCGCAGGAAGGCAGCCAGTGGCTTCGGCGTGTGTCCAGCCGGGCAGTCCTCCCCAGGAGACCTGTGCCCGTAGTGGAACAGTGGGGCCTTGCGGGGTAAGGCAGGATGTGGTCCAGCCAGGCTGTGTTCTCCCACCACGTCCTTCAGGAGCCCTGCTGGTAATCACAGGGGTTCTTCTCCGCCACCCATCTGGCAGGTGCTGGGTACTTTCCCATACTTTGCCATGCTCAAAAAATCAGCCCTCCGTTCACATTGGGGCCTCTGAGGCAAGGCTGCCCCTTCCTACCAGACGGGCACCTTAGGGAGGGGGCCGAGTCCCCATGATGCGCGTGCCTTGCAGGTGAATCCCAACAGCATCGCAGCCAAAGACGGCCGCATCCGCGAGGGAGACCGCATCATCCAGGTGAGCAGGGCAGGCAGGCCCCGCCAGCTCTCCTCAGCCAATTCTAGCTCTCTCCTGCTCAGAGCCCAGCCTGATGCCGGGCATCCCGCCGGGCCTGAAACCAGGGCTAGAACTCATCTCCCTCCTGCACAACCACGCGGTGGCTCCCATGTGCCCGTGGGCTCTGCTGGCGTCTCTGCTCGGGCCCCTTACCAGCCTGTCCCTCCGTGCCCCAGACGTGAGCGTGCGTCCTGCTCCTCGCCGCTTCAAGCACGTGTGCTCTTGTGTGGGCCAGGCTGTCTTCGCCCCCGGCACCTTCCACTTGTCTCCATCCTGCCAGAGCTCGAGAGCCTGTCCTGGCCCAGGGTGCTCGCTTTGGAGCTCCCTGCGAGGGGACCCCTGTAGCTCAACTGGAGCCTGCCCCAGAGCCAGCCCTGGTGTCCTCGTTGATTGTCCCTTGGCCTGCCACAGATAAATGGTGTAGACGTCCAGAACCGGGAAGAAGCAGTGGCCATCCTGAGCCAGGAGGAGAATACCAACATCTCCCTGCTGGTGGCCCGGCCTGAGAGCCAGGTGTGTGTGCCCAACAGGGCGTCCTGGGTCCCCTGACGTGGGGCTTTCTGTCTTGAAAGCTGCCGACTAGGGCACAAACATGCCAACAACCTGGCACTGATGGAGGGTGGGGGGGGTGTTCGGGGCCCATTTCCCTTTGTGGCCTCTGATGGCTGAGTGGGCTGGGACCTAGACGCAAGTAAGGACATTGTCTGCGGAGGTCCTTAAGGCAGTGGGGACAGCACGGGCCTGTCTCTGCAGCTGGCGAAGCGGTGGAAGGACAGTGACCGGGATGACTTCCTGGATGATTTTGGCTCTGAGAATGAGGGAGACCTGCGGGCGCGGAAGCTGAAATCCCCCCCTGCCCAGCAGGTGAGGAAGGAGGAAAGGCGGTGGGGGGGAGGGCAGGGAGGGCGGGCAGGACGGCAGACGGAGTAGATAGAGGCTTGGGGGGGCTGCGGGAGATGGACCAGACCCGAAAGCCCTTCCGATCTCCATCCTCCCCCCACGGCGCCCCCACTGGTGTGTCCCAGACTGAGCGGGGCTCATCTTCCAGCTCCAGCTTGGAAACGAAGAGGAGAAAGGGGCCCCTGATGCGGGCCCAGGCTTGAGCAACAGCCAGGAGCTGGACAGCGGGGTGGGCAGGACGGATGAGAGCACGCGCAACGAGGAGAGCTCTGAGCACGACCTGCTGGGGGACGAGCCCCTGAGTACCGCCAACACGCCCGGGCCCCTGCGCAAGTTTGGCCTGCAAGGGGACGCCCTGCAGAGCCGCGACTTCCACTTTAGCATGGACTCCCTGCTGGCCGAGGGCGCAGGGCTGGGTGGCGGCGACGTGCCGGGCCTCACGGATGAGGAGTACGAGCGCTACCGCGAGCTGCTGGAGATCAAGTGCCACCTGGAGAATGGCAACCCCCTGGGCCTCCTCTTTCCCCGGGCCGCCGGCGGCAGCGGTGCCCTGGATGTCAACCGCAACGAGAGCGTGGGCCACGAGATGGCCGTGCTGGAGGAGGAGCTGCGGCACCTGGAGTTCAAGTGCCGCAACATCCTGCGGGCGCAGAAGATGCAACAGCTGCGGGAGCGCTGCATGAAGGCCTGGCTGCTGGAGGAGGAGAGCCTCTACGACCTGGGGGCCGGCGAGCCCAAGAAGCACGAGCTGTCTGACATCTCCGAGCTGCCTGAGAAGTCGGACAAGGACAGCACCAGCGCCTACAACACGGGTGAGAGCTGCCGCAGCACTCCGCTGCTGGCGGAACCCCTGCCCGAGAGCCCCCTGAGGCGGGCAACCGCCGGGGGCAACTCCAACCTGAACCGGACCCCCTCCGCACCCCCTGTTGCCGCCCACCCCAAGGCTGCCCCTCCGCAGGGGGGTCCCGCCAACTTCCGATCCCTCTCCCGGGATCCCGAGGTGGGTCGGAGACAGCACTCGGGGGAGCGGGTCCGCCGCGGCCCCAAGACGGGGGTGACCCTGGAGCGCGTGGGCCCCGAGGGCAGCCCTTACCTGTCGCGGCGCCACCGCGTCCAGGGCCAGGAGGGCGATCACTACCACAGCTGCATGCAGCTGGCCCCGCCGCGCGGTCTGGAAGAGCTGGGCCGCGGCCCCTTGAGTTTGGCCAGTGGCCCTCGGGTGGGTGGGGTGGCGGCGGCGGCCACCGATGCGCCCCGCATGGAGTGGAAGGTCAAGGTGCGCAGCGACGGGACCCGCTATGTGGCCAAGCGACCGGTGCGGGACCGCCTCCTAAAAGCCCGGGCCCTGAAGATCCGGGAGGAGCGCAGCGGCATGACCACCGACGACGACGCGGTGAGTGAGATGAAGATGGGCCGCTACTGGAGCAAGGAGCAGCGGAAGCAGCACCTGATCCGGGCCCGGGAGCAGCGGAAGCGGCGCGAGTTCATGATGCAGAGCCGACTAGAGTGCCTGCGGGAGCAGCAGAGCGGCGACAGCAAGGCTGAGCTCAACATCATCGCCCTGAGCCACCGCAAAACCATGAAGAAGCGGAGCAAGAAGATCCTGGACAACTGGATCACCATCCAGGAGATGCTGGCCCACGGCACGCGCTCAGCCGACGGGAAGCGGGTCTACAACCCTCTGCTCTCTGTCACCACTGTCTGAGCCCAGCTGTGCTCCAGGGCACGGGTCCTCCGCCCTGGCCCAGGTCCACTGAGCCTGCCAGGACCCCGTCTTCTGCTCTCCCTTAGAATCTAGCGTGTGTCTGTGTGTGCGCGTGCGACTTTGTTACCAGACAGAAGCCCCTGGAGGACGAGGGACGCTTCTCTCCATTGGTGACTTCCTTCTCCCCAAGTACAGAGACCACATCAACAGCTGGCCTGGGGGCAGACCCGTATCGGCCCCCCCTTCAGCCGTAGGCGTGTGTGTGTGTGAGACACGAGCCCAGACACATGTACGCATGCAGACACACGCATTTCCCTCCAGAGCGCTCTCAGTGCGGGCACTTGGGGACAGGGAAGTCAGCTGAAAAGCAGAGGCAAAGAAGACTGTCCTAAGCACAAGAGAATGTCCGTTACTTGTAGACAAAGGCAACCCTGATCTCTGTGGTTCTTTTCCTTTTCTGTGCTTGCCAGTTGTTGTTTTTTGGGTTTGTTTGTTTTGTGGACCTGCTCTGAGGGCTGGCAGCTCCTTCAGGCAGCCTGACAGAGGTGGAATCCCCGAGCGATAGCTGGGAAGGAGGGGGGTGGGGGGAAGCAAGGGAGGGGGATGGGGGGAGGGGAGGTGGGGGAATGAAGGCAAGAATGGGAAGCAGCTTTGCAGATGGCCTCCGCTCTGAGGTGTGGCGACTGGGAGCTTCCGATGTGGCTTGCCAGGCTCACCTTGGAGGTCACCTCCTTCCCCGGCGACTGCGGGGACTGAAGGGTCAGTGTCCGTCCAAGAAGGAAGAGAGCCCAGGGCTGTGCCAGACGCCTACTGGAGCTCGGCTTCTCTCCTGAGAGGTGTGAGCAGCAGCAGACCTCGGTGACACGACCCACGCGGAGCTAGTGACAGGCGGGCCCTGCCAGGTGGGCTGACTGGGGAGAAGATGCCCTGCGCCCCACTTTGCCAGTGTGGGCCAGGCAGCCCCCGGGAACCTGTGCATTAGTGAGAGCTGGCCTGCGGGCCCTTCCCGGCTCAAGAGAGCCTCAGATGGAAGGCTGACAGGCTGCTCACCCCCGCCCCCTGCCGGCATCGTGAGAATAAAGCAAGCTGCCTTCGAGGGTGACTCCTGGCCTCCTCGTGTTCATTCTCCTTCATTCTCCAGCACCGGGGGCTGGCGTGGGGCCGGGCGGGTCAGGGGGAAGCTGAGCAACAGCGAGGTGTTCTGAAGTCAGCCTCCAGCACTCTGGGAGGAGGGACAGAGCCACCAGAGTCATTTCAGAGGTCTGCCACGGTCACAAGGGTGGTGCCCAGGTGCAGGAAGGATGGCAGAGACCTGTCTCAGGACTGGCGACTGAGCCTGGAGCCGGCATGTGCATGAGGCCAACACCCCTGCTCTGGTCAGAGTCGTAGAGAAGTGGTTCCACCCTCTCCCTGCCCTGCAGCTCAGGGAGTGCCCTAGCGTTTCTGGAAGGCACAGGCTTCCTTCCCTGTTTGGGGACCCCACAGTGCCTAGCCCTCAGAAGATGCAAAGAAGTGTCTTTTGACCAGATGAGTACCAGGTGGCTGCGGGAACTCCCAGAGGTTCCATTCAGCACAGCAAGCCACTGGGCATCTGCTCAGTGTCAGGAACCCTGCTAAGTCCTGGCTGGGGCCAAGGCCCCAGAGACGGCAACTCCAGGGGTACCGTCTGTGCGGTGAGCCCTTGAGTAGGCGCTGGCTCCTGAAAAGACACAGGATGCTGCTGGCACATTAAGTGGGTGAGGATACATTTAAAAATTCTCTTGAACGAGCAATGTAGACCTCTTGTTAATTTTGCTAACTTGCTGAGATAGGCGTGAGCAAGAAACCTGAGCCTGTGTTCCCAGAAGCGGAGTGCCCTGCTGTCTGAACAGCTGGGAGGGAAGACCCAGCATGCCACACAGAGCACCAGTGGCTTCAAGGGAGGAAAGGGCTTGTTGATGAAAAGGGGCAAACACGAGACACCACCTTCCTCTTACCCCTCAGAGGCCTCTGGAGCTGGGGGCTAGGAACATCAACTCCTGACCGGCCCCGCTCCTCGGGAGGGGACACTCCATATAGGCCCCTGTGAAGGATGGGGTTCCAAGGACCCAGCCTATCGCAGAAAACTGGCTGGAGTTGGAGACTAAGGCCACCTGTTCCCTGAGCATCCCTCTCTGGCTGCTGGGGGCTCACTGTGATGGCTCTAGAGGCACCTCACTTTTGCTCTGGGGTGGGGGCCAGGACAGGCCCGGATCCGAGGGTCCCTCGGCTGTGTGAAGGCTGGTGCTGGGGCTTGGCTCTCACTGGCTCCGGGAAATGTTGACACCAGGAGATCTGGAAGCCCTTGGCAACCGGCGCACTGGACCAGTGACTTAACTGGGCGGAGTGGTGGAGCTGGGATCAAAAAGAGCCGCTGGGTGGCCAACAGCTGCCACTTTCCCCCTTAGAAGGAGGAGTAGCGGTGCTCAGCCAGCAGGCGCCACCCGAGCTCCCACCAGCCAGCAGCTCTCGCCTGGCCTGGTCTTCAGGGGCCCCATGGTCTCTGTTGTGCCCGTTTTGGGAGCGAGGACGGGGCTCTTCCCCAGAGCCTCCCTATTCCTGCCAGCCACCCATGCTGACCCGCTTCGCTTGGACTGAGGGTGTGGGGCAGGGAACAGCTGGCGTCCCCTAGCCTGGAGAAGGTTCCCAGGCAGGTCCCTCCACACTCCCGCGGAGGACAAGGCCCAGAGGAGAGCCCCGCCCACTCCCGTAGGCTCTGGGCCTCCTTTGGGGTGCAGCCTCCCTGGACGCTGATCCCAATGACCCCTCACCGACAGCCTGGAGGAAGCCAGGTCACAGGTCCTTTGAACCCTAGGGCCCCCCACCTCTCCAGTCACTAGGTGGTAGCAGGGACACTGGGCTGGTGGGAGGGCTGCGGGTTGACGTGGAGCGTGGAGCCTGCACAGGGACGCCCGCCCGGTTTCTCGAGAACATCAGGTCCTCAGAGAGCGGGTTCGCTGGAGGGAAGGTACACAGCCGAACTGGAAAGGGCTAACGATGGGCTCCTTGGAGGCTTGGGGGTCCGGGTCCTCTCTTGTGCCTTTCTCCGTGCCCCACCTGACACCAGAGGTGAGAGCATCCTGGGAGGCACCACGCTGGAGCAGAGAGCTTGGAAGGACCACCCCCCTGGACAGCTACCTGGAGTACTAACTTTGACCGCATAAGCGCCACAGGGACGCCTGCAGCGCCCCCCAGGAAAAGCACAGGAAGTACTTCAGTGTGTGGTTCCTGCCCAGGGCCCTTCCGAAGGCCAGGAGGGGCCGTGGCTACGTGCACTGCTGACTGCTGGGTTTCGGGGAAGCTCCCCACGCCACCTGCCCTGGGCAGTTGCCCTCAAAACGGCAGGTGGTCAGAGGGTCCTTCCCTAAGCGGGCCCAGGCAGGAGAACAAGGCCACTCTTTGCCAGAGACTGGGGGGCGGAGGGGAGAGACAGCCCCGTGCCCCGCCCGGAACCAGGCAGGCAGCCCTGGGAGACGGTGGGCACTGGGTATTAGGGGGCTGAGAAGGGAGCGCTAACAATGGCCAAGAGTAAAGCAAACGTACACAAGGAGGAAGGGGACCTCCAGACCTGCCCCCACTCGGTGCCTGTGCCGTCTAGGCAGGCGGAGGGATGCCGGTCACCCAGCTCTGCCCGTGTGTGTGACACAGCCCTGGTGCTTGGGATAGCTGGTAACTGTTTATTGAAAGAAGCAGGGGGGGTGGGGGGGCATCACCCTCAGGCCTGGATGTGGCTCTTGGCGCTGAAGGCCAGGTAGTAGATCACTAGGCCGATGGCAGCGGCCAGTACCTCGGTGGAGACCCAGGGCCCATTCCAGGTGCCCTGCAAGAAAGGAGACCAAAGTCATTCTCGGGGGAGGGACGGGTGAGAAGGCCGGCTGCTCCAGCCACCCTCCTCCTGGGGCGCGAAGACACACTGGTCCACTTGGCTCAGCCCCCGGCTCCCTCCTCCCCCTGTGCCAGGCCAGCCCCTCCTGGCCACTCACCCGATGGTCCACGCTGACTGTGAACAGAGGTGGGATGATGGATATGTCCTCGTTATTTCTCTGAGCCTGTGAGGGAGGTGCTAGGGTCAGGGGGCGATGCTGGGTGGGGTGGGAGAGGCAGGAACACCGGCCAGAGTCGTGGAAGGAGAAATGTGGGCGAAGGAGCGACACGGAAGGCACAGGGCCAGGTGGGGTGGGTGAGCAGGAAGGCGCCCACCGGCCATCCTGCTCCAAGTCAGAGAGGGGACCTCAGGGTGGAGCCAGCTGGGGCAGTGGGCTATGCCCCCCCTACTGCAGGCCTGGGTGGCCTTCGGGGACACTCACCTTCCTCAGGAGGCTGTAGGACTCCTCGTCAAAGAATCTGACCTCGTAGGTGCCTGCGTGGGCGCTCTTGTGGTCTAGGCTCCAGGACACCTGGGTGGGGTGTGTTCGGCAGGGGGTGGGCAGTGCACATGGCGCCACGGCCAGCGCATCGAATTCAAGAACCCCAGCCCTGCTGGCCCGGCCTTCAAGCCACACCTGTGAACGGGTGGCCTCCCGCGAAAGTGACCACCACAGCATCCCTTACCTGGTATCGGCCCACGTCCTGGCCCCGGGTAACAGGAAACTGTTTTCCACTGACGTCAGCATAAAGAGCCATGTTCTGGGGGAGGGGATAAAAGGAGAGTCACCTTCTCCCCTCTCTGGCTGCAGGTGAAGCCCCGCTCTGCCACCCGGAGTAGCACCCTCGGCCTGTGTGTGGGTAAGGAGGCCGCCGGGCACAGCCGGGGACTGCGGTGTGTCTGGCGGGGGTACTCTCCACGTATGTCTCCCTCCTTGGGGGCCACATCTCCCCTATGCCTGGCCTCCCTAACGCACGGCAAGCCTGTTAACTGGACACGGGCGGGATGAGTGAAGTGTTCTTGTTTCTTCTCTGAGCCTGGAAGGGGGTATCACGGTCGCGGACACCCAATGAGCTGCCTAAGGAAGATTGTACCTACAAAGGCCCAACTTCCTTCCTTCTCTGCGCCTTTAGGTTGCAGAGGCCGAGGCCAGGGCTGCTTGGTCTTGAAATGACGAAACACACATGTGGACACACACTTCGGCAAAGAGCAACCAGTAGAGGGACGCAGAAGCCTGGGGGCTGACCCTGGCTGTCTCTCCCTTCGCACGTATACTCTTTCCACACACAGCAAGATGCCTGTCTATATCACCGCACACAGATGCAGCAGAGCAGGCAGGTGAGGGGAATGTTCTTTAAATCTGCTAGCATCTGGCCTGGCTGTGCCCTGATCTCTCCTACGCCTGGGAATCAAAACCCTGATTCTCCCTGTCCACACGGACCCCCAGGTCTGACCCCATCCACTGCCAGTGAGGGCCCCAGGTCTCAGCCTCACTGCTCACCTCTCGCCCCCGCACCCTCCTAGCTGAACCCCCGCTGCCTCACCTGCACCCTGTTCTTGCAAGTCAGGGAGATCTCCACGATGAAGACAGTCTCAGTAGAAATGACAGCATCCGACGTGGTATAGTAAGAAGGGGTGATCTGGGGCTCCACACAGGCCTCTGCTGCAGAGAGGCAGAGATGAACGGCTAAGGCCTGGCT